GAAATATCATCATTATACAAATTAGTGATGCTGCGGAAAATAATAAAAAAGTTACAAGTTCAAACTAAAAAATTGCCCACTGAACCGATAACCACTTTATACTATCAGATGAATGAATTTCTAAAATATAAGAATTGCTGTGATCATTCTCCTATATATATATATTTTTCTCAAATTATAAGAAAAATATAACCGAGTCTAACACAGTTGGTCAACTGATTTACAATGGTTTTTGAGCCTTTTTATGTGTTCAAATGGTTTTTATTTTTTTACGTTAGAAAAAAAAACTCTACATATGGACCAAATTAACCCTACATTTCTATCCTACGACAAACTTTTGCTCTTTAATTCCATTGAATTCAAAAGGGAGAACCCATTAGTCAACAAGTCTTTGTCTGACCTATGACATTTCCATAATACACAAGTACATAAATCCATTAATCAACAAGTCTTAGTCTGAAATACATAAATACATTGTATGTGAAGCTTATTCAAGTCACACCAAAACAAAGCTTCAACATCTGCAGAAAATGGTTATCTTTCTCCTCCTGTTATTTTGCACTCAAATCTTTTATACATATCACTAACCTTATATGTACACCACCTCTGCTACATACACCTTAACACCAACCCACAATCTCACACATGGTCAATCCTTGGTTGGCATTTCGAGCCACCGGTGGTTTTGGTGGCCAACGAAATTTAGAGCCAACCTAGTCACCGAATCGTTTGGCCGGCTAAAAATGGAGGTCGTTATAATCTACGTTTGTGTAGATATTATTTGCTTTGCACACTCTTATTCCCCTCTACCATATGTGTTTCTTACCAGTTTATGTCCCGTCGCTTACCATCTATATATTTGTCTCTCCCCTCAACTGTTATCTCAACGTCCTCCCTGACCTTCTTGGGCTCGTGCACCATCCGGTCACGCTGTGTGAATACGGTTCGCTTTACACATTGTTGCTCATCATTTTCAAAACGCATTTAGGCAGGTGAGTTCAAACTTTTTTTATTTTTATTTCTTTTTCGTGAAAGAAAAATGAAACTCTACATGTGTACACACTTTACATATTAGCTGCAATGGACCAAATAAACCCTACACTTCTATCGATCTTGCGACAAACAGTTGGACTGGGCATACATAGAACCATCTTTTGCGGTCTTTAATTCCATTGACAGACGCAATGAATTCAAAATGGAGAACCAATTTGTCAACAAGTCTTCGTCTGACCTCTCACATTTCCACAATAAAGAAAATGCATTGCATATGAAGCTTATATAATATAAGTACTCACACCAAGTCAAAGCTCCAACATTCTGCAGAAAATGGCTCTGTCTCCTGTTATTTTGCACTCATCTTTTATACATATATTCGTATCGATCACTAACCTTATATGCACACCTCCTCCGCAACATACACCTTTTGACAAACCCACAACCTCACAGACGGTCAATCCCTGGTTGGCAATTCGAGCCACCGGGCCCCATATGGTACCACAACCTCCCCCTCTCACGGTGGTTTTGGTGGCCAACAATATTTAGAGCCAATCCGATCACTGAATTGCTTGGCCTGCTAAAGCTTACAAGAAACAGAGGTCGTATTCTTTGCAATCTAATCAATACTGTTCACTTTGTACACTCTCATCGACCTCTACCATCTGATTGTCCCTCTCGGTGGATGTCCCGGCGTCCTTGTTGGCCTTCATGGGTTTGTGCAGGCTTCCTCCATATCTGTCCGGGTTTGACTCTAATACCATGTGGTCACTGGTGCAGATACTTTTTGCTTTATATATTTATGTTCAACATTTTTAAAATGCATCTACTCTAATATTCCTTTTTCTTTTTCTTTTTTTTCTTCAACTTCCGAAAAAAAAAAAAAAAAAACTTTATTTTTTTCCAAGTAATGGAAATCTTGTGGTTAGAAATGAAGAAATTTGATGGCAATACGAGAGAGATTTGATAGTACGTTGTTGGTAAGTATGTATGGGTGGAAATTGGAATTTGAAAACCGGTTTTGTTTTTTTGACGAAATGGAAGAGCAATGAGGCCCCATGAGATGGTTAGAATCAAATCCCAATGAGTCCATCTCTGAGTAAACCCACAGTTGGTCCTATAATGGATTAGAGAGGCAATACAGGCGGGCAATTAGTCCAACTCTCAGTAAGCCCCTTAGGCCCATGTGGCCCATATATCTATAGAAATTTACATAATGCTTCTCCTAGTTTTTTTTTTTTTTTTACCTTTCCTTCTTTCTCTTCTTCTTCAATTTCTTTTTAATTATATTTAAATAAATTTATAATTTCTTTATTCAATCAGATCTTATATTATTTTTTTTAATTTTTTCTTGTTACATTGTTAGATCGGAATTTTTTTTACAAGGTTTAATATGCCCCTGAACCAAATTCCAGGTACTATCCCTGAAGGTGAAGGTTTGGGTCTTGGGATGGTTTTAGAATTAATGAGCAAAAGCAGTGTCCAAATCCAAGTTCAATTCAAATTGGGACGAGGTTTTTGTTCTTTGTTTTTTGTTTTTTGTTTTTGTTTTTATTTTTGTATGTATATATACACGTGATATTATATAGAAATAATTCCAAAAAAATGGTATCACAGTTTGGTCTGATTATTTGTCATGGACTAATGGTCCACTAATGTGATGATGAGTGAGTTGAAAATTTATCAACGGAGAAGGGGTTTGTGAAGTTTGACAGGAATGAAATATGAAAATATTGGCAGATAATTCAACCGCGTGTGTGGAGCTACATGGAAATTATGGCGGTGCATGCGTGGTATGGAATGATTACTTCATTGATTCCAACAATTTCTTGATGGGCTTTGCATAAGAATGCCATTTCCCAGAACTAAGGTATGTACCGACACACACATTTCACACATTTTCACTCGCATAATGTTTTTTCTTTGCTAGTTTCTTCAATTAGTCCGTTGGATTCACGTGCAACACAATACAACAAATTGGAGGACCTTCTGGCTAGGAAAAAATATCAATGTTTTAGGGTTGATTAGAAGTATATATACTCCACTGGGCATTTCGAAAGAGTAAAAAGGCAAAACGAGCAGTACAATACTAATTTATGTCAAAATTTTGATTTAGGGGTATTTTTGCAAATGTAAAAAGGTTAGGGGTGTTTTTTTGCACACTTTTTAAAATAGGGGTAAAAGTGTTACGCGAAGTATACTTTGATATTATCTGCACTTGTTCCTTGATTAATTAGTCTACTGGCTTTTAGGTTTAAAAATCATTTTTCTAAACTCCCAATAAGAGAGCTAAAAAATTAAGGGTAATTACCTCCCCTTTAATTAGGATTTTTTTTCCCTGAATTCTTTAATTAGGGTTTATTAAACTTATTTTTCTTTTGTTTTAGATTATTATTATTATTATTATATATATTTTTTCACAAACAACCATCTACGTTGTTAGAGACGGTCAATACTAATGTGATAAATGTTTTTTTTAAAGCACTTTTCTCCAACTCCTATTGTGCAAAAAGACAATTATACCTCAATTTGAAGTGCTTATTTGTTATATGAAGTTAAAAAACTTATTGCATCAACGGTATGGGTTGTTTTATTACACACATGTAACTAGAAGGAAGATAAATGTAATAGTTTAAAGCGTATAATAAATCCTAATTAGAGAGGATGTGAGTGTAATTTATTCAAAAATTAATATATTCTAGTAAATGGCAATAAATCAATAATAATACAAAAATGCAAATAACTTAATTAGTCTTAATTTGAACGGGGCATTGGATTTGGGCACACACGAGGAGGCGTGCGCGTTGATATTATATCAACTTTACACAATTAAACCTTGTTAACAAGGTTAGGATTGGACATTAGGTCTTCCGATCAATTTTAAGTTTATGTCTATCAAGTGGGAGTGGATTATATAAAAACAGAGATACCAACTGTCATATCTTAACGAAAAAAACAAAGAAAATATATAAATATAAGAAAGTAGATGTATCGTGTGGTCCATTCTTTAGACTTTTATGTATGAACACTCACAAACTTGTAGTGAAAATCAATATAATAATCACAATAGTTGAAAACTCGTCGCAAAAAGTTGAGGGAAACTTCGTCTTCACTCACTGTATCATTAGGAGGATTACATCTGTGAACCATGTTAGAGGCTATGAATATCTTCACTGAGCTTTGAGAGATCCTCCTTGGGATCTGCTAATTAATATATATATATAACAGATTTGAACTTTAATGGCGGATATATCAAATGTGACTTTCCTTGACGTTAGCCTAAAGAAACTTTTCTAAATTAATTAAGGATTTTTTTTTTTTTTTTTTTTTTTTTTTTTTTTTTTTTGGGTAATTGTCTGAGATGTGTCCTATTTTTAAATGCCAATTAGTCTCACTTGAAAGGTTAGGCTATCCTACCCTCATATAAAAAAAAGAGTTGTTCATCCAATTTCAATTTGATTATTTATAAATATGAATGGTAATTTTCAAAGTTCAAATGGCCGGTAGGTAAGAGTTGATAGCTAATAGTTAATGACATTTTTTTTTTCCTTAAATTCTTGATCATTCACATGAAATTTTATTGGAAATTTCTTCCACGCAATTCGTGATAGAGGATAAGCTACTTCATACAAAATTTCATGTGCCCCATGCTAGTATGCGTGAAACATAAGGTGAGGTTGCTTTTTATTAATTTGTCAACGTAATAAAATTGATCATTTTATATATTTTAAATAGTTGTAAATTTCTTTTATGCTTGAATTTATATGGATTTGAACCGACCATGAATTCAACTTGATTGGGAAAGGTGTGAATGAAAAAGTGGATGTTAAATTAGACTTGTAAAAGTTTAAAATTTAAGCTGATTTTTCAATGGGTCCAAATTCCAATTAATTTGTGGATAAAAGTGCAAAAGGAGAAGATAAGGAGAGGACTTAAAAGCAAAGTCTAGACCACTAATTTATCTTTTAATCGTCCAATTATCGTCCTTAAGGACCTTTACAATAAAGCAATCTTTTTCCTGATATAACAATACCGTCTGTTTCTATCTTACCTCACTTGTGTCCGAAACTTCTCGCTGTTGTCAACATTGTCACTCTCCTTTTTCCACAAAGCTCAACTACTCTTCCTTGCTTTTCCAGCCACCACTCCACCAATCTCTGCCTTCGCCCGGGCAATATCGCCTCCTCTCACTACCACTCCACAACCCTTTTGCTCTCTCTCTCTCTCTCTGCATCAATATAGCTTTTTTCAACAAGGGTTGTGATCAATATTCAAACCCCATAATTGCGTCCTCTCTTTTAAAACCCATTTCAAGAAGGAAGTTTTCAGCGAAGAAGAAAGTGGGTGTTGAGAGTTTAGTCCCCCGAGGGATGTAAATTGCGAAGCTTTCGAATATATACAGGTATCAAAGTGATTCATGGTTGATTCTGCGTTTTATTTGTTGAATTGCTTGATCTGGTCTTCCTAGTGTTCTACTATTTGTCTATGTGAGCTGAATTTGTAATTCAATTACATATATGTTTGACTTAATTTTTAGTTTAGAACTGGTTAAGAGTAGATCACAGATGCTTGTCTTAGTCAGATCCTTGCCTCTGCAATCTGTATTGAGGTACTTGTTGTCTGCTGGGTAATTTCCAACATTTTGGACCATTTGGGATATGGTAGATCACAGATCTTGTATACCCATGTTGTTTTGGCATATGGGTATGAAATGATAAGAAGGATTAATCTTCCTACTGGATTTGATGTGGAGATTGTAGATTCAGAATCTTGTTTACTCATGTTGATTTGGATGCTATATAAAAGATTTCATCTTCAATTTTTAATCTTTTTGGCAAATATTAAGAATCTAATCGTACAGTACCACCCACACCTTCTTCCCAGTTTATTTTGTTCCCTATATTGCTTTATAGTTGTGTAGCACAGTCTTGATACATAAAAATACAAAATATAATAAGAGGTTTCTTATATGCAAAATAAATTAAATTTGAGTTATATCGTTTTTATTAGGTTTTGCTTCAAATTAAGCGAAGTGCCTATGTTGAACATATAAATTTACCAATTTAACTCATAAAATCAGCTATAATTATGAAAAAGAGTACTTAGTCTTGTACATGTGTCCTTAGGCTTGAGAATTACCTATAATGATATTCATACCTAAGTCCGAGTAACATAGCTAACAGCTAGTTTTTTATGACATCTCTCTCTTTATGTGTGTGTGTAATAAGATTTGAAGAGCAGGAGAATATCTTAAAGTTTGAGTTAATTTTGAGAAAACCACGTTACCTGATAATTAACATATTAGAGTTTTTGTACAGTCGTAGTGTCTTTTTCTATTCTTTTATTATTAGTCCTTGAGTAGATTCTTATTTTCCTTGCAATTGGATTGTAATGTTTTCATGACAAATCCAGGGCAAGAGTTATCATCTCTGTGCCAGCATCAAGCCCCAATATGGAAAGATGTGCGACATAATAATTATTTTTCCCAGCCTTGTGGGGTGGCCAGAATCAATTGCTGATGCTAATAGGTAAAAGCAAATGTCGATTGTTGTCATTGTCGCGATATCAACAGTTTTGGGGATGCTTTTCTCTGGTGTCATTGGTTGGTATATTTGTCGATTAAAGAACGCTACAAAGAAAGGTAAAACACCTTTACAATTCTATTATCTGTTCTTTCAAATGTATAATCTTAAAGCCCATGTTTTTTAAATCCCAGCTGATTTATTGGTGTGGAATTCTTAACTGAAGAGTCAGTCATTGGTTCCTTTCTATGTCTCTCCATGTATTTTCTATTCTGGACAATATAATAGAAATCACTGGACAGAAAATTAATGGAGACAATGCCATTCCACATTGATACAATCAATCACATAAATTTTGGAACTTAATCTAAATTCATTTTTTTCCCGTTCTGATTTGGGAAATTACTAGATGAAAAAAAATCATTCTTATTTATGTAATTCATTAAATTCTCCATGCTCCTAACTATCCTGTAATGCTAGAAAGGACAAAACTTTTCCTCACAGCATTTGCTTTGATAATAAAAACTGTCTAGAAACACTATTTACCAAAGTATTGGGGTTCTATCATCCCATTACTTCAGTTCAGACAAAGTACCATTGGTAATATGTATTTCCACGCTTATATATCATAAAAGTATGATAAAGGTCACAGTAGTATTTCCACGCTTATATATCATAAAAGTATGATAAAGGTCACAGTAACTAGAAGTGTGTACTCCCTATATCAATGAGAGCACTCTCTATATATTAGTACATCGGCTAGAACCCATTTTTATATTATCTTGTTTGCCTTGTGAATTTCCTATGTAGCAGTGCAACAGGAAAACAATCCCTACAAAGATTGTAAAGAAGAAAGTCAGGAGGGCGACTTTGAATTACCTCTTTTGGATATGAGTACCGTTTATGCTGCTACTAACAAATTCTCTTCAGAAAATAAGATTGGACAAGGTGGTTTTGGCCCTGTCTATAAGGTAGGTCTCCACTTTATTGCATACACAAGTTAAGATGAAGCGGAAAGGAAGCAAGATTTTTCCTTTTTGTATTATAATATTTCTTTTTCTTTTTCTTTATATTTTTCCTTTTAGCCCAGATGTAAACTTAAGACCTATCTCAACTCCATCCTCCCCTTTATAATTATATTTTATTTTTTCTTATTTTTTTTTCTTTAGGGTGAATTGCCTAATGGACAAGAAATAGCAGTGAAAAGGCTCTCACAGAGTTCTGGGCAAGGTCCCAAAGAATTTAAGAATGAGGTTATCTTGATTGCAAATCTTCAACACCGCAACCTCGTTAGGCTCCTGGGATGCTGCATTCAGGGAGAAGAAAGGATGTTAATCTATGAGTACATGTCCAATAAAAGCTTGAACAATTTCATATTTGGTTAGTCTCTTTGTCATTGGCGTTATATACTTAAATGATTGTCTCTATCTTATTCGTAAATAAGATCTATAAAGTTTATAGAGACATTTGAAGAATAGAAGTTTCAATTGGACTTTCTGTCAGATGAAACCAGAAGGAAACTATTATCTTGGAAGAAGCGCTTCAACATTATTATGGGAATTGCACGAGGTCTTCTTTATCTTCATCAAGACTCGAGGTTGAGAATCATCCACAGGGATTTGAAAACTAGTAACATCTTACTAGACGGAGAGATGGAACCCAAAATTTCTGACTTTGGCATCGCAAGAATTTTTGGAGGGGAGCAGACAGAGGAAAAAACCAAGAGAGTAATCGGAACATAGTAAGTGGTCTTTTAATATATCAAAAATAATATTTTAGTGGGTGCAAATGTTTAAAATCTTGTTTTGGCTTGCAGTGGTTATATGTCGCCAGAATATGCAATGAGGGGTCACTTCTCAGTGAAATCAGATGTATTCAGCTTTGGTGTTTTAGTGCTAGAGATAATAAGTGGCCAGAAAAATTGGGGATTTTGTCACCCTGAGCATGATTTCAACCTTATAGGACATGTAAGTGTAGAAACAAGAATATTTCTACTCTCTTCTATGGTAAGCTTAAGTAAATATTTTACGTCATTTTCTGCTATTACTAATAGAGAAACTGAATTGGGATTGCTCCAGGCATGGAAACTATGGAGTGAAGAAAAACCCATGGAACTAATGGATAAAGTATTGGAAGAGTCATTTTCCGTAAATGAAGTTCTTAGATGTGTTCAGGTAGGCCTTCTGTGTGTGCAGCAACGACCAGAAGACAGACCATCAATGTCTGATGTGGCTTTTATGTTGAGTAACGAAAGCACATTGCTACCTCAACCGAAAGAACCTGGTTTTTGTATGGAAAGTTCTTCCATAAAGATTGATTCATCGTCAATTGGGCAAGACTCTAGTACTCACAATGAGGTTACTCTTACAATCTTGGACGGACGATAATAATTTATTGTATAAATATCGAAAGTTAGGCGTGTACCCAGTTCCTTTTTCCCAGCACCCTTGATTAGTAGACCAACACTGGCCTTTTTGTCTTATAGTTGCTGTCCTGTTTTCTTTTATATGAAAATTGTTTAGTGTGTCGCCGTTATTGAGCAAATTATGAACATTCAAAATTTACCTACACAACCAAGTATAGAGGTTTCATGTCGAGGGGCAAAATCCGGCATATCTATAGCTTGGCCACTACTTTAAAGTCCTCAGGAAGTATATTTTTGAATACTGGTAGGAAATTTGGTTTAGACAGAAACAAATTTGTGGATTTTTTTCTTGAATTTGCTGAACTTCCTTTGGGATGATTTAAGTAAAATAATAGTTCCAAGGATAGTTTTTATGGTACTGCAACTTATGGGAGCCTGTTTCTTCTGATTCTGTAATTGATTCTTTGCTCCGAGACAGCTAATGCTAATGCTTGTTTAAGTAGTCAACTAAAGTCTGTCTATGTGTATCTGTTGTATAAATATTAATTGATCTGCCAAAAGAGAAAAAATGTAGGAAATAATTGCTTATTTGATTCTGTTTTTATAACATTTTCTATTTTAGTTCAACATGTAGTTTGGTTGAGTGTTTTTCGAAAACTAATTATATGAAACAGAGTTGAGAGTTACATTATTTTTCTATTGGAACATTTTTTTCTGTTTTATTATTCTGAAAAACTAGTTTCTGATCTTTGCAAAAGGAGGTCAAAAAGATGGTATATAATTTGTTTTTGGAACAGGAAAGTTTGGTATCTCAATTCATCTCAAGCAAACAAAAATTATGATCATTTCACTTACGAGGGCATATGACCAGGTTGGGTAGTTTTCTCGTGTTACACTTTGCAACGGTTTTTGCTATGAATTTTAGTTTAGTAAAAAAAAATTAAAATTAAAATTAAAAAATTAACAAAACCATATTTGGCTATTTTGCCTGTTAAGTTTTAATGTAAATACAAAATATTGATATGTGATGGTGACTGAAACAGAAGGTCTCCTGGCAAAATATGCTGCTTTTTACCTATTTGGGAAAACAAATTACCCACTGCACTGTCATATATATATATATATATATATATATATATATATATATTTTCCTGACCAGAACACTACACTGTCATATACTGTCCTTTAAAAAGCACAATTTTGAGAACAGTCAGTGGTCAATCAATTCAATACCTGAAGTACATCTAAAAAAAATAAAAAAATAAAAAATAAAAAAAAATCTGCAAAAGGCATATTAGGCTTCCTCGAACTCCATAAAAGATTGAGCCGTACGTATGGTGTTAAAGCGATCGTGACTCTTATATATTGTCAAGATTTTTTAAATATTGACATTTTTTTTTTTTTTCGACATAGAGGTAGTATTTATTTTCAACACAAATACATAAACTTTTTTTAAAAAGATATATATATATATATATATATATATATATATGAAAAGTAGAGAGAGGAAGGAATTATAACACAGAGGATCGGCGGATCTTCTATCCTTAAAATAACATTAGTTTTAAAGTACAATCTGAGAGCAATCTCATCAATAATACTATGCGACCACTCTCACCTGATCACTACCCTTCTTGAGAATCCTTTGAGTGGGGTTTGTCCCAAGTTAGACCAATACAGACATCATCTGATCTATTCCAATCTAAGAAGCTCTATAATTGGATGAGAGACATGGGTCGGACAAGTTACAATTGTAATAGATCAGACTCACTTATGCAACTAATGGCTCAAGTGGGCCCTATATTTGCCACGTGGCATCAAAAAGGTAAACAATTTAACATAAATGGCATTTCCCTTAAGAAAAACTTTAATTCTCCAAAATTTACATAAAATCACTCATCAATTAAATATCAACACATAGTGATACATTTTATTGAAATAGGGAAAAAAAAAAAATTAACACCCACTAATTATATATATTTATATATATATAACCCAAGTGAAACTATGTATTTTTTTTTTTATGGAACAAAATATAATTAAATCATAATAATAATAACACTGTTTGGATATAAGAAAAATTTTCTCATAAAATAAATGTATTTATACTTATACGTGTGACAAGATATAAATGATTAATAACATTCACACTAACCAAAATTGGAGAAGTGAATTATACCATAAATTAGTTTCTCTCTCTAGTCAGTTAGATTGTACTTTCCTGATTAGCAAACACCAAAACTCAAGAAACGTTTCACACAGAAATCAACAAGAAGAGAAATCTGCATTGGTAACGCCCACAAGCCTTAACTTCTACCAGCCAACATGGATGCTCTCTCTCTGTTACTTACAGTCTTTCATATCTGTATATCTGTAATCTCACACACCACCATTGCTGCAACACACACACTAACTCCATGTCAAACCCTCACTCATGGCACAACACTAGTCTCTTCCAACCAAAGATTTGTACTGGGCTTTTTCAGTCCTTCAGGGCACGCACATATCAGTTACTTGGGCATATGGTACAAAGACATACCACTCACAGTGGTATGGGTTGCCAATGGACACAAACCATTGAAAAGTTCAGATGCAAAGCTAGAGTTAGATTTTCATGGCCATCTTGCACTTAAAGATGGTTCAAAGGGCACTGTCTGGAGCTCTTTGCCTGCAAAGAAAGCCGAAAAACCTATCTTGGAACTTCTAGATTCTGGTAATCTTGTTGTTAAAGAGGGTAAATTTAAGTCTGAAGGAAGGTTTAAATGGGAAAGCTTTGACTTTCCATGTGACACATTGTTGCCTGGAATGAAGCTAGGTTGGGACACGAAAAGTGGTCGAAAATGGTTTATGAGCTCTTGGAAGACAAGGGATGATCCATCACCTGGTGGGTTCAAATTGAGCTTGGAACAACCTCAATCACCACCTCAATTGGTGCTGAAAAGGAATTTGACTAAGCAATCTAGGTGGGGTCCTTGGGATGGCAAACATTTCAGTGGCACCAATGCTTTCAAGACTAACCCTGTGTTTAAGATCATCTTCAAATTCGATTCTGATCAGGTTTGGTTTACATTTGAGGTCTTAGATGAGTCAATTTTGTTGAGGTTTGTGGTGTCCCCATGTGGTAATGTTCAGTTCCTAACCTGGAAGAATCATACTAGGAAGTGGATTACAATGTTGACACTCAATAAGGATGGTTGTGACCGGTATGGCTTGTGTGGGCTTTATGGAATTTGTTATGTGGATGATCCAAGCTGCCGGTGTTTAGAAGGGTTCAGGCCAAGTTCACCCTGGGATTGGAGTAGGATGGATACCTCGGGTGGGTGTAGGCGGGAATATAGGTTGAATTGTAGTGATGGGGATGGATTTTTGAAATATGGGGGATTGAAGTTGCCTGATAATTCAACTTCATGGGGGAATTTGAGCCTGAAGGACTGTGGAGAGAAGTGTTTGAAGGATTGTGCTTGCATGGCTTATACTAACATGAATATAAACAGAAATGGCAGTGACTGTGTGGTCTGGTTGGGTCACTTGATTGACATTCGGAACTATCCTCAAGGCAGGGATGAGCTTTATATACGTGTGGCACGTGGCGAACTAGGTATGCATGCTTAAATAGTTCAATTATGGCTTTTATTTCTTTATGTTTGTGTTGTTAGGTCTATAGTTGTGTTATGGCTTTTATTTCTTCCTGTTTGTGGTGTTAGGTGTTGCTAGTATGCTAATTTAGTAAGTAGTCCACTGAGCAGACACACGCCATAAATAACGTCTCCTATAGCACACTGTTTAGTTCCTAACACTAGCTGCAGAACACAAGCGTTCACGAGCACACACTGTGAACCTCCCTGTTGGGACAGAGGTCAACCTGAAACGCCATTTGATCGGCTCTGATGAACTGGCTCTGCAGTATATGGAATGGTTGGTTGCTTTCATTACAGAACCAAGCAGCTCCTTGGACAAGTAGCACCAGGAAAGTTGTGGAAGCAACCAATAATCCAGTTAACATGAAACATTACACCACAATGTTGAGAGCATATGCATTCACAAGCACACACTGTGAAGTTTATCTGTTGACTTGCAGTTGATTTAACTAAATGAGATATTGATACAGAAAAACAGTAACAACATTTGTACAGCTTTTGCTTGCTACTATGGCAATCCAAGTGCACCATGTTCAAGTAGTGCATGAGAAGTGTAATACCTAACATAAAAACTAATCATAAGTAACTTAACTCCCATAGAATGGAAACCACCTCACATGAACTTGAGTACAACAACCTAGTACGGCTCCTGTTGATTGAGGTGTAAGATCTGTTTGGACTCCAAATGTCAGAACAGCAGGATTCTGCTTAAATCCCGGAGTTGTCCTTATTCTTCTTTGGCATATTGAAGTAATGCAGCATTTACGTAGCATAACGGTGTACAAGGAAACATCACTTTAATGTTATTTATGTGACGCAAGAATAAATTTAAGTATCCCTGCAGGGTTATAACTAATTAGGAACATTTCATCTATTTCTTTTTGTCGTATACTAATTGTCGCAATTGTGCATGACAAAAGCAGCAATTGTACACGAAAAATGTGGTGTCTACCATGTAGGTGTCTTATAGAATCCGAACCCTTATCTGCACCAGTATCTCATACTTCATACATATGAAAGAACCAATGTGTTACGAAATGGACACAAATTCAAGTAAAAGCTGCTTTTTGGTTTTTTGACCTTAACTAGAGTATGTTGCCTCAAATTAGTATCAATCAGGTTGCTGCATTTTCCTTGCTGGAAGGGATATGGTTATCTGCTTTCATTCAATGTTTGTTTCCTTTAGCAGACCTTGTTGATGAGCTTGACTGTTAAATAATATGGTAAAATAGGATAGTAGGATGTGCATTCAATCTGAATAATTGTGTTTATATCCTGCTTTATCGTTCTTCTTTTTCCTTTATTTTTATTTTATTTTTTTTTTTCCGGAACTCAGTGCATGTCACGTACTGGGACATAAATAACATTTTGTTTCTGCGATTGATATGATCTTATTCACAGTCATCTGAGGTTATAGCTGAAACATTTGGCCTTAGGCAGGATAACTGACATAGTTGGATCAGATCTTTATATGCCGTGGTCTGATTAGGTGATTCTTTAGTGAGACTAATTTAACACACGTATTAAGATCTTTTTGGAAAAGTGATCAAAAGAAAATGTTGCAATAACTTCAAGTCAGATTTGGTTTTGTGATAATTAGGAGCAGTAGATATTCAATCCTTAAAAAGGTTCCGCAGGTATGCTAGAGAATGCAATGGTTTATCCTTTTGAGGTTGCTTTTGAACCTTGGCAACCTATATGTATACTTAAAACTTATGAAGCAAAATGATTGATATTGTCAACCTGTTGTCTGACCAGAGTTGATTGCTTTTGCTGAGAAGGAGAGACAAAGGATTATGATCGCCTTTATCCTTTTATTAGTGACTTCTGGGACAGTTATCTTGGTTAATGTTTGCAGATTAATTTGTCAGATAAATAGGGCAACGAGACCAGGTAAAAAACTTCATTTGCATCCTTACTATATTCAGTTTTTTGTACTGTTTGATCCAATCACAAAAGTTACTGAAACACAGTTGATTTTAGGAGTGGTGTCCCTGCCTGAAATTTCACTCTTTAGTTCTCTTCATGCTCTATCTATCCTCCTTTTATGCATTTCAATTTGTAGAGTATAGCATAATAGAGAACATCTTTCCATCTATATTATAATTTTTGGAAATTTCATTTGAGTGCCCTTACAAAATAGAGCACAGTGAGCACTCTCACTTAACAAAATAAAAAATAAAAAAAAGTAAAAAAAATAGTATTCATTGAGGGGATTCGTTGAATATTCCATGTTTAGTTGGTTAACAGTTTAAAGGAAAAAAAAAAAAAAAAAAAAAAAAAAAAAAAAAAAAAAAAAACCCTTCTTGTCCATACTGCATTTGCATTGATGGCAAAATCATTCCTGGTTTCAACTACAACTTTTTCTTCTGCGTGCAACTCAGCTCAAAAAAGCCCTATCCGAAGCATTTGGTGTTATGGGGAAAAAATTACTTACTATTATACAATAAGACTCTGTTATGGTCACTGATCTATAAATATTCGGGCTTATTAATCTTAAAACATTTCATTGAACTTCATTTAGGCTCATCAGAAATGTCAAAATTTTTATACACTGACTAGAGCAACAGTTTTGCACGAGCAGATGCTAACCACTCCCTATATGCTACAACATAAAGGTAGTACAATTTTTTCTCTTACAAATTCTTTACATACAGCTCAACAGGAAAACAATCCATACAGCGATTTGAACATGGAAAATGCGGTGGGGGACCTTGAATTCCATCTTTTCGATCTAAGCGCCATTACTGCTGCTACTGACAACTTCTCTCTCGAAAATAAGATTGGGGAAGGTGGTTTTGGTATTGTTTATAAGGTAATTATCAATTGGGCAACAAAATACCATTTTAAGGTAAAGAGCCAAGGACAGAAGAGGAAGAACGAAATAGCTTTTGGTTTGTATTACTAACATTTACTATGATACTCTCTGTAGGGGGAATTCCCTTCTGGACAACTAATAGCAGTAAAAAGGATGTCACAGAGATCTTCTCAGGGCCTCCAAGAGTTTAAAAATGAGGCAAGTTTGATTGCCAAACTTCAACACCGAAACCTTGTTAGGCTTTTGGGGTGCTGCATTCAAGGAGAAGAAAGAATGCTCATCTATGAGTACCTGCCTAATAGAAGCTTGGACCAATTCATATTTGGTATGATAGTCTAACCTTTAATATCTTTTTCATCAATTAAATTTTATTTGGTTACAGCATAAAAAATAAATCGTTCATTGGAAAATAGAAGTTTGATTGGACTTCAACACTATCATATGCAGATCAAGCTAGGAAGAAACTATTGTCTTGGGGGAGGCGGTTAGACATCATTGTGGGGATTGCGAAGGGACTGATTTACATTCATGATGATTCAAGGTTGAAAATAATCCACCGAGATCTTAAAACAAGTAACATATTACTGGACAGCCAAATGATGCCCAAAATTTCAGACTTTGGCGTAGCAAAAATTTTTGGTGGAAATGAGACAGAGGAAAGGACCACTAGAGTAATCGGAACACAGTAAGTACTCACAGACCTTAAAAAAATCCATGATTCTAAAGTTAATTTTCTTTTACTGGCATGCAGTGGTTATATGTCTCCGGAGTATGTGATTAACGGTCACTTTTCAACGAAGTCAGATGTGTACAGCTTTGGTGTTTTAGCATTAGAGATTGTAAGTGGCCAAAAAAATTGGGGATTTCAGCACCCTGATCATGACTTCAACCTTTTGGGACATGTAAGTATACAAATACATAAATCTACTTTGTCCTCTAAGTTAGTCTCAAATTCTATATTCTAGTTTCCATATTGTGTTATGACATAAAAGTGACTAAAATAATTGCTTCAGGCATGGAAACTGTGGAATGAAGGGAGGCCTCTGGAAATAATAGATACATTGTTGGAGTCATTTTCTAAGACTGAAGTGCTTAGGTGCATTCAAGTGGGGCTGTTGTGCGTGCAGCAACGCTCTGAAGACAGACCGGCAATGACAAACGTGATATGTATGCTGCGAAATGAGAGCACAAGTTTACCGGAACCCCAAGAACCTGGTTTTTTTACCGGAGGTTCTTCCATGAGATATGGTTCGTCATCAAGGGGACAATTGCCCGAGACTGACAATTCCTTAACCATGACAACTTTAACTGGCCGGTAGAAGGATGTGACGAATAGACTTGAAAATATAGTAATATAGTTATATAGTCGCATAGCTCCGCAGCCTATTTTATATAGGAAGCAGATTGAAAGCAATATGTATTACAGTTAAATGTGTGACATTTGGATACTCTACAAGGCATTGACTGAATAGAAGTTCCATTTAGGAAAACACAGTATTCCATATCCATACTCAGTCACTTCATTTCATATTATCACAATAATAAATTCAGAGTTGAACTGGAAAAACTTTTATCTATTCAGAAAAGTAGTTGGAATGTCTTTGAGTGTAGCATACTAAATTACTTTGCTAGGTGTTCAAGAATAAAAATATATGCATTCAATTTCATAATATGCCATGTAGTATTTATTTATGCAAATGCATAGCATGTTTCTTCCACTCACTCACCCACTCTTTGAGCACTTCTAAAGTTTAATTTTTGTTGTTTCAGTTTCATTGAGAGTTTCTATTCTTTATCACAGTAAAGAAGTTTCATCTCTGTAATTTCAATTCCGTATGTTATTATAAGAAATTAAGAATACAGATTTTTTTTTTTTTTGGTTGAAGGGTGATTTGTCTCTGAATATAAAACTATTCAGAGGTGCTAAAGGAGTTGCTATTTTGATGCTTACAAGTAATCTTGTTCTAGTGTCTTCCTTCTTCTAGAGAGTCAATGCCCATCTCTCTCAGTTTATCCAACAAATACCAGGTTTTAATACTATCATGTGTTCAAGGGGACAATATGACTGCTGGTACACACCACTTCTGCATCATGATACTGACTTTTTAAATATCTATTGATTTTTGCATTTGATCATATCAAATATTTGGTTTTGATAATAACATTACTTCCCTTGAGACAGAGCTGTGGCGCAACGGTAAGATTTCACGAGCTCGAAATAGAAAACAGCATCTCGGTCTCCCAGTGCAGAGGTAAGGCTTCTACATTCAACCCTCCCCAAATTCCGTAGTGACGGGAGTCTCGTGCACTGAGTTAAATTACTTCCTTTGTGACAAAGTTTTTTCTTTCCAGAAAAGGGTGTATGTGTTCAAAAGATAATAATTGGACAATAATGTGAGTCTCGTGCACTGAATTAAATTATTTATTTATGACGAAGTTTATTCCTTCAGAAAAGGGTGTATATGTTCAAAGGATAATAATTGGACAACGACATTCATGAGATATAATCACTTGTATTCATACTTTCAAACCTCTGAATCTATTATATAGCAAGTTTAGCAACCTACACGTATGCTAATATTAAATGTCTATCTTATTCTTTATAACATCATGCTTATGCAAGCATATATCATGAATTAGCATATGTGTAGGTTCCTAATACTAAAATTTCAACCACACACTCAAAATTAAGAAACAAAATTCACATATTCAACTTTCTGTTGGAAACGGGGGCATTAAAAACATAAACTTTGGATAAGATTTGAAATAGATTCCGTTAATAATTTTTTACGGATCTCTAGACAAGCGCGTTTCTCTCCGTAAGGAGATGAATGTGGTATATTTACTTTCTGAAATCCGTTTCCGGATGAATGAGAAATTAGCTCCAAAGTGTGGTGTTTTGATAAGCCTAAATGGGTATGCAAAATGTGGGAAGTGTTTGTCCCACATGGAAAAAATGTTGAAACAAATTGAAATTTAAATAAGCTGAGTTTAGGATTTGGGCTTGGGCTTGGGCCTAATTGTAAAGTCCAGATTATTCTTTTTTTGGAATTTTGGATTGGGCCTAATTTTGGGCTGGGCTTATTTAAATGGGTTTCACAAATGAGTAGGGTTTTTGGGTGGTTGGTTTTTTGAATTAAAAAAACTACTTTTTAGTTTTTCTAAAAGGTTACACCTTTTAAATTAAAAAAACCATATTTTAGTTTTTCTAAAGGGTTACACCTTTTTAATTAAAAAACCACTTTTTAGTTTTTTCAAAAGGTTACACCTTTTTCCAAACCATCATGACCCATGGTTGCACCCACTCGAAAAGGCACATTGTAACCTATTGGAATGGATGTGTCTATTGGTGAACAGACACCATGTGAACCATTGCAACCTATTGGAATGGATGTGTCTATTGGTGAACAGACACCATGTGAACCATTGCAACCTATTGGAATGGATGTGTCTAATGGTGAATAGACACCATGTGAACCATTGCAACCTATTGCAATGGTTGTGTCCAATGATGAAAAGACGCACCCCATCCGAAAAGGCATTTCTATTTCTATAAATACCCCCCTTTAGATCATTTGCAAGTCGTTCATTTTCATTTTCTTCTATCTCCCTCTCTAGACTTGAACCCAACCCAAGTGGGTTCAAAGTGGTCCGAACCACTTAGACCCTAATCCAATTTCATTGAGCCATATTAAGATTGGTCCGAACCATTTGATTCGAATTGCACCCTATTCAGCATTTATATAGCATAGATACATTTTTGAGTTAGAGAGAGTATTACACGGAGAAGGTTCGCCGTATCCACGAGTTTGTAGTGCTGCTACTGGTGGATGTAGACCGTTGTATCCTGGGAGATAGACGCCACTGAGTCCGTTAGCACCATAGCGGGGCGAATCTGTCTTAAGGACATAGTATTCAATACTAGCCTCGGTCCAGGTTCTTTATTGATTATTATGATTTTATTAATTTATTTTGCATATTTAATTAAATATAGAGTTGCATATTTAATTAATGATTTCTTAACATATTGTTAATTATCTAATGACATATTAGTATAAGATTTGTTATATCTTAAATATCACATGAAGCATATATTTTTCCAACAATCTTAAGACAGATTCCTTCCTTGCGTAGATTTTATTATATGTTTCTATTTAAGATATAAACAAGTAGATATTATACTAATAGTTGAGATATGATAAAATAATGTTATATACATTATTATATGATAATATGTTAAATATTAATGCATTCAATATTATGTGAAATTGAAGCATGTTATATAAGTGGATTATTGAATTATTCAATTTTGATTGAATTATTTACTTTTGTAATATGATATTATGAAGTATATGACATTACCTTAAACATGTATCAACTAGAGGTGAAAAAAGATACTTCATTACTTTTATCATTGGTTGCACAAGATAACGTTATGTGTATTTGCCACAAAGCAAAGATGAAACCTTAGAAATGTGACACCATATGAATTATAAAAAATTCGAAAACCTTCTTATAAATTCTTAAAAATGTGGGGGTGTCTAACTAAGGTTGTACTTTCTCCTAAGAAAGTTAAAGTGAGACCTATAATGTGGCAACCTTGTGGGGGGTGTGCCGTGGGCGGGTGCAAGAGGCACTGACATGTTATCACATTGAGCAAGTTATAGGTGCACAGTCCCACACCACCTACGTAAGGGAAAGGTAAAGTGATTTTATGTAGTGGTGTTATCTCCAATTGGTACGAGGCTTTTTGAGATAAAATCCAATAATAAAATCGTGCGGGCTGGATCCCAAAGTGGATAATATCATACTATGTGATGGAGTGGATCGTTACATAAAACCTTTGATAGGTTATAACATCAGTGCATATCATTTTCTTGTAGGCTAGAACGTCTACATCTTTTGGTCCTAATTTTCTAGCATGTTTATTGGAGAATGAGCCATAAATCTTTTTTCTTAGATTAGTTATGTGATATAATTAATCATATGGTATAATATTATTTATCTGAGTTCAATATTATTTATATAAGTGCTTACTTTTAATTGAGATTATAATATTAAACTATGTAGTAGAATTACTTAATGTGCATAGTAATTTAATTTTATAATATAGTTGATTTAATGTTTGATATTATTAATTTTGTATGAGTTCATGACTGGTTTGTGTATTTAATACAACAGACAAAAATTGACTAGTCTAGCTATGTCAATTCTCTTGATAGTCAAGGGAAAAAGATCTATACTAGTGTTTAAAGACACGTATAGCTGTGAATGGGCTGAATAAGATAAGATTTTTCAACAACTTTAAAGTGTTTAATGGAAAATGTTATGGATACAGTAAGCAAGTACACTGAGATAAGATTTTTCAACAACTTTAAAGTGTTTAATGGAAAATGTTATGGATACAGTAAGTAAGTACACTGAGACAAGCTAAATCAAGCTAGTTAGCTATAATGTACAATTTAGCTGAAAGCTAAAATGTTACTAAGTTGCAAACTAGTTAGATTAGCTATAAGTTAAAATGATTAATGAGGTGCATAGAACCTAAGAGGAAGATGGAAAATCTGTTAGTTGGTTCTAGCTCTCAACTTGGTAGTGGAAAAAAAAAAAAAAAAAAAAAAGAACACGAGGGTGACGAGTAGCTATTTTAGCCATAAGCTATTTGAGCTATTCATCATAGTTGCTCATGTAGGAGAAAATAATATTACTTGTAAAGTAATAGTTTTTGAAGAATATTCTTCAAAACAAATTACTCTACTACCAAGATAGACCACTTAGATAAGTGTGTACTAAAGGTATGAGCTACTAGAATTGCTAGCTAAACAAACTTAACTTCAAGCTAGCGTTAATAACTGAAAAGTAGGTGCTCATCATAATTTAGTAATGAGATATGAGAAGAGTGTGTAATAATACTTGAGAAGTGAGTGCTCACTCTGTAGTGATTGTATCCAAAGCTTAAATAATAAGATAATTATTTGCTTAAATGATTGAGTTATATGATGTGTGACACATGAAAGGTTATAACATGTTAATATGACTGACTTAACATGAACCTAAATATGAATAACTCAATTTATAAATATAAAAGAAGTAAAATCAAATATATTAATTCGAGCCCATTGTAATTAATATCTTTAGCATTAATTCACGGTATTGTCGGTGAATTATTATAAGAATATGCTAAAGATAAAGTGAGTACATATGCACTAGAGACTATTATATATGTTTGTTGAGAAGCGAATATGGAACCTTGAAAAGGTAGATGAGGTGAAGTATTTAATATATGGTACTTTCAAAGTTGAAAAATCATAATAAATACATTAGAGATAAAATTTCAGGATTATCCCAAAGTTGTGGGGAGATATTATCCATAGATGAAATTTGTTACGAGTCACTCATCTTAACAGAAATACTTATAAATGTGGGGGGTTCCAAGTCCTAAGAGCTTTAGGATAGAACCAAAAATCATTTATATTATTATAACAATAGTACGTGCATATTATTTTCTACGAGGAAAATATTATGGAACAAATAGAAGAGTTCTTTTTTCAGTTGAAGTGCTGAGTTATTTGTTCCAGTTGAAAAGTCAAGTGTGCAAGCTTATAAGTCCTTGAATGGATTAAAGCTACTACCGAGACAATGACATAAATGTGATGCGTAAGTCATTGTATGCCTTAAAATATAAATGATATACTGATTGGTATATTTGATATAAAAGATTTAACATCTGATAATATAGTATATTCTCAATAGAGTGATATTGAGATAATACTAGTTATGATAACAAAAGCCTAGCTAACTTTTGTAGATGTAAATCTCAAATATATATACTAACCAAAGTATATCATTGGTTGAGATTGTAAGGCAACTTAATAACTGTGTTTAATTGCACATTTTCAATCCAGGATCGGATCACTAAAAAATAATAAATTGGGTAGTTGAGATGTAATACCCCGATAATTACACCCTAAATCCAATATTGCTTAGATCGAGATATCTAACTAAATTGGAGGTGTAACAGTGATGCAATCTGGATATGGGATATTAAAGACTTCAAATCCAATAGTGGATATGTCTTTTATATTAAAGGTGTAGTTCTATATTCTTAATATAACTCAAAGTTAGAAACTTTGAATAAATCAAATAGGGAAGTCAATAGACTTCACTTAGAGGAAAATTCAAGTAAGTCTACACCTGTGCCACTAAAGAAAATGATATTGCTAATAATAAGCAATTTTAGGGCACAAAGTATACAGTTGCTCTCACCTGGAGAAATCTCTGCAGAGTGTAATATTTCTAAACACAACCTTGTGGCCACATATAAAATTGAAGGTTGTACTAGAGAGCAATTGTACAGTTCATCGAGGGGAATGGGGTTTAAAGCCGAAAGCTAACGAGTCACCTTAATGGAAACCCAACCTAGCTGATTGGAGATCCCAAGATCTAGGTTCAAAGGGACAACAGAAATTCTGAGTGACTCACCAGAAGCACTGGGAAGATATAAATCTTCTACCCATTTCTATGATGAGACAGTGCTGCCTATAGCGATGATCAGGATAAGCTACGCTTTTAATGACTCTTATACCTTGAAAATTCAAGTGGGGTTTGGTAGGATACTCTTAATAAGAAGTCACCTATATGAGTGTGAAGTAAGGCCGCTTCTATGAGAACTATAAAGGCTAAGTTTTCTAGAGCACTCATTGAATACCAGGACTTGTTCAGGGCCAAAATGAACACAACAATGAGAACCAACTTTGTGAGGAAAGCTACTGTGTGTTTGTTATTGTCTTGGTTTACACAAACGGCTGAACAGTTCAAGACATCGCGTTCACTGGTTAGCCAGTAAATTCGATAGCAATACACTAGGGAAGGTTCAAAGCCAAAAGCCACCTATCCTGATGCAGTAACTTTTCGATTATACTCTCTCTAGTGTCTGCATGATCATCTTTTGCATTTTACGCAAATTTCCATTCATGTGGGGGATTGTTGGAAACGGGGGCATTAAAAACATAAACTTTGGATAAGATTTGAAATAGATTCCGTTAATAATTTTTTACGGATCTCTAGACAAGCGCGTTTCTCTCCGTAAGGAGATGAATGTGGTATATTTACTTTCTGAAATCCGTTTCCGGATGAATGAGAAATTAGCTCCAAAGTGTGGTGTTTTGATAAGCCTAAATGGGTATGCAAAATGTGGGAAGTGTTTGTCCCACATGGAAAAAATGTTGAAACAAATTGAAATTTAAATAAGCTGAGTTTAGGATTTGGGCTTGGGCTTGGGCCTAATTGTAAAGTCCAGATTATTCTTTTTTTGGAATTTTGGATTGGGCCTAATTTTGGGCTGGGCTTATTTAAATGGGTTTCACAAATGAGTAGGGTTTTTGGGTGGTTGGTTTTTTGAATTAAAAAAACTACTTTTTAGTTTTTCTAAAAGGTTACACCTTTTAAATTAAAAAAACCATATTTTAGTTTTTCTAAAGGGTTACACCTTTTTAATTAAAAAACCACTTTTTAGTTTTTTCAAAAGGTTACACCTTTTTCCAAACCATCATGACCCATGGTTGCACCCACTCGAAAAGGCACATTGTAACCTATTGGAATGGATGTGTCTATTGGTGAACAGACACCATGTGAACCATTGCAACCTATTGGAATGGATGTGTCTATTGGTGAACAGACACCATGTGAACCATTGCAACCTATTGGAATGGATGTGTCTAATGGTGAATAGACACCATGTGAACCATTGCAACCTATTGCAATGGTTGTGTCCAATGATGAAAAGACGCACCCCATCCGAAAAGGCATTTCTATTTCTATAAATACCCCCCTTTAGATCATTTGCAAGTCGTTCATTTTCATTTTCTTCTATCTCCCTCTCTAGACTTGAACCCAACCCAAGTGGGTTCAAAGTGGTCCGAACCACTTAGACCCTAATCCAATTTCATTGAGCCATATTAAGATTGGTCCGAACCATTTGATTCGAATTGCACCCTATTCAGCATTTATATAGCATAGATACATTTTTGAGTTAGAGAGAGTATTACACGGAGAAGGTTCGCCGTATCCACGAGTTTGTAGTGCTGCTACTGGTGGATGTAGACCGTTGTATCCTGGGAGATAGACGCCACTGAGTCCGTTAGCACCATAGCGGGGCGAATCTGTCTTAAGGACATAGTATTCAATACTAGCCTCGGTCCAGGTTCTTTATTGATTATTATGATTTTATTAATTTATTTTGCATATTTAATTAAATATAGAGTTGCATATTTAATTAATGATTTCTTAACATATTGTTAATTATCTAATGACATATTAGTATAAGATTTGTTATATCTTAAATATCACATGAAGCATATATTTTTCCAACACTTTCCAGATACAATAATTGATACCTGTTTACGTCCCTCTCAAACCAACCTACCGCTGACCACAGACCTTCTCAGGATAGCCATAGCATTTGAAAAATCTAAGGTCTGTATAGGCGGCTATTTTTGTTGTTTGAACTACTTCTGACGTTGGTTTCCTTCAAATACCTGACTTTCTAGAAGGTGTTATCATCAACTCTTTTACAGGTCAAATGTATACCTTTTCAAAAGTCTCGAGTCATGATCTGATAATGTTTTGTTTTACACATTCAAATAAGCAAATGTGATGGTAGTGTTTCTTGTAACTGAGATCATCCATGATGGTCCTTCCCCTCATTTTCCTCTGTTTCTTCCTGGAATCCTCCATTGCTATCGACACCATATCTCCGAACCAAACACTCTCAGACAACGGCCAAACTCTTGTTTCATCAGGCGAAAAGTTCGAGCTAGGCTTCTTCAGTCCATGGAACTCCAACAGCCGTTACATAGGAATATGGTTCTACAAAGTCCCACAACAAACACCTGTGTGGGTGGCCAACAAGGACACCCCAATCCCAGATTCCTCCGGTGTCCTCACCATCTCTGCAACCGGCAACATCATTATTTTCGACAACCAGACTCGTGTCATCATATGGACATCAAATTCTTCATCCCCGACAATGACTAATCCAGTCCTGCAGCTCCTTGACACTGGCAACCTCGTCGTGGTGGCAAACGGTGGCAACAACTATCTGTGGCAAAGCTTTGATCATCCATGTGATACGTTGATACCGGGAATGAAACTGGGATGGGACCTTAGAACCAATCAAGAGTGGTACTTGAGGTCATGGAATAGTCTGCAGGATCCATCTCCAGGTGTGTATACATATAGACTAGACTATAGTGGGCTTCCTCAGCTTATTCTTCGCCAAAATTCAGTAATAGTATATCGAAGCGGTCCATGGGATGGTACTCGGTTTGGTGGTGGTCCTCCACTAGGACAAAATCCAGTGTTCACACCCATCTTCGTGGTTAATTCGAGCTACGTTTACTATTCCTTCGAAAACAATGTAGACACTATGTTTTCGAGGTTTGTGGCGAACCAGTCAGGCACGCTTGAACACCTCTACTTTAGGCGGAGCGAATGGGTTGATGCAGTTAAGCTGATAGTTGACACCTGTGATGACTATGCACATTGTGGTCCTTATGGTATATGCAATATCAATGATTCACCTATTTGTCATTGCGCGGATGGGTTCACACCCAAATTCCCAAATGACTGGAATAGGCTTGATTATACTGGTGGGTGTGTTCCGAGGACACCATTGAATTGCAGCGTGCCGGTGGGGTTTAGGAAGTTTCCGGGGCTGAAGTTGCCGGATTCGTCCTCTTTTAATGAGAAAGCTTCAAGTCCTGAGGAATGCCAGGCGGCTTGTTCGAGTAATTGTTCATGTGTTGCTTATGCCATAACTGAGTTTAGTGGTTGTGTGGTATGGCTTGGTGGTTTGCTCGATATTAGACAGTATAGTGAGGGTGGACAAGAGCTCTATATTCGGATGGCTGCTTCTGATCTCGGTAAGTTTGTCCATCAATTATTCTCATGTTTGTCTCTCCAGTAACCATATGGTGACTTTTACTAGGTGAAATTTCACTATTATAGTAGCAAATTTATCATTTATAGTGATGAAATTCACCAACTGCACAAAAAAAAAAATTCCTTACTGAAAAGGATTTTGATTCCAATCTTTGACCCAGCTACCTGTGGATGAAATATTTACTCATTTAAATCCTACCAATTCTAATATTTTGTCATCTAACCCATGTTATCAAATGAGTGCAAAAGCTGTCTAAAAGCATATTATGAACATTTTACTAAAAAAAAAATTACTCTTCTTGCTTCTTAATCTCTTTTGATTTTATGGTTGGTGTTTAAAGGATCCCATAACAAAGACAAACGGACGGCGGTGATTGCATCGGTTTCAGTGATTTCAGGGGTTCTTCTCTTGTGTTTAATCACTTGGTATGTTATTCAGAAGAGAGCTCGGAGGAGAAGAGGTATGTGTATGAACTTTGAACACAAAGCCGGCCATTTGGAAATAATTTAGTTGTTTAGCGCCGTCCAAAGTGTTTGAAAAAATGTCTAGTCCACATAATTGATGCACATACGCTACCAATATCTCTACTATATATGCATTATTGGAGACCGCTAGCTGCATTTTTTAAAAAGTCAATTCCAAGATTTCAACCTTTTTGGGCCCCAAGATCATTATAATTTGTTGTTGAGTGACTTAGTCTTTGTTTTCTGTAGAGAAACAGTATACTTTCTAGGATATTATCTGTGGATTACTAACATCAAAACTCTACCAACCAAAGCAGGAAAAAAAAAATGTCATTGATTAAACTTCAGCTGCAAGATTAATTATTTTCCTAGCTAACATATTTTTCTGTGTGTCCATTGCATGAATGCATGTGCTATTCTGATTATCGGCATTTAGAGTGTGTATTAAATTCTTAAAATACATTGCAAAAACTTCAATTATTCTACATCAATAAATGCAGATTTCTATTTCTTTGGTAATATATTAAAAGATGTATTTTTTTTTTCCACCAATATTAGGACATGTTAATTGTTGCAGAATAAACGATAAGCCATATGAACTAAATAGGTCATTGATAACTTGTAGAATTCAGAGGATTCTTGCATCCATAGTTTTATTATTGGAATGTTTCTAATTCAATCATTTCTCAGTTTTAACAGCTCTGAGTCTGAGAGTAGATGAAGCAAGCCCACATAATAATCAAAGCATTGGGGATGAAGACCTAGAGTTACCATTATTTGATTTGGTCACTGTTTCAACTGCCACTAACAGCTTCTCGTTCACGCATAAGATTGGAGAAGGTGGTTTTGGTCCTGTTTACCGGGTAATTTTCTCTCACATTTACAAACTTAACAACCAAAATGGTCACTGTGTTTGAATTTAGTCACGGTTAAACAAAATGCAGGGTAAGCTCTTAACCGGACAAGAAATAGCAGTGAAGAGGCTCTCCAAGGATTCGAGGCAAGGCCTCAAAGAGTTCAAGAATGAGGTTATCTTGATCGCGAAACTGCAGCACCGGAATCTTGTTAGGCTCTTGGGATGTTGCATTCATGAAGAAGAGAGGATGTTAATCTACGAGTACATGCCCAACAGGAGTTTGGACTTGTTCATTTTCAGTTAACCTCTTATCCTCTATCAATGTTGTAAATCATTCACATTGTTCATCTTTAGTTTAGTTTCTGACTTGATTTATATTGGCGCAGGTCAAACAAGAGGTACATCACTTGATTGCCAAAAGCGCTATGAAATAATAGTGGGAATTGCTCGAGGACTTCTTTATCTTCACCGGGATTCAAGATTGAGAATAATTCATAGGGATTTGAAAGCAAGCAACATTCTGTTAGACAGCGAAATGAATCCTAAAATTTCGGACTTTGGTATGGCAAGAACATTTGGAGGTGATCAATCAGAAGAAAATACAAGTAGGATCATGGGAACTTAGTAAGTAAATTCCTTCTGTCACTCCCTTCTCATGTTATGAACAGTTCTTGTCATTTGATAATTTTTTTTGATAATTTCTTATAGCGGCTATATGTCTCCTGAGTACCAAATAGACGGGCTATTTTCAGTGAAATCCGATGTCTTTAGTTTTGGGGTTTTGGTTTTAGAAATAGTCAGTGGCAAGAAGAACAGAGGATTTTTTCATGCTGATCATGATCTTAACCTCTTGGGACATGTGAGTATAAAAATCTTTATTATTATTATTATTTTTTCTAAATTTGTAAACCACACTGCTTATTGATGCTAATAATGTTTTGAATTGCATTAGGCATGGAAATTATGGAATGAAGAAAATCCTATGAAACTAATGGATGCTTTCATGGAGGGTCCAATTATCAAATCAGAGGTGGTGAAATGTATCCATGTAGGTCTCCTGTGTGTGCAACAACGTCCCGAAGACAGGCCAACAATGTCAACTGTTGTGTTGACGTTGGATAGTGAGAATCCAATCCTACCCCAACCTAAACAACCTGGTTTCTACTCGGAAAGATTTCCCGTCGATACAGAATCTTCATCGACCGGGAAAAAGCCTTATTATCATACTTCAAATGAAGTAACAATGTCCATTTTACATGGTAGGTAGAAAAGGAGGTCCTCATCTTTGAAAATTTTGTTTTGGAAAGCTTGTAGCATTGTAATTTCAAAATTTTAAGTACTAAATGTATATATGTTAAAAAGGTTAATTTCATTATTTGTATAAATTGTCCCCACACTGCATTTCTATACTTCTGTCAAGCAATGGTTCATTTTAGTGACCCTTGTTAGGAATTATATTTTGTCCATGGCAATTGCAACATTGTTGGTTTCAAAATTGAATTGGAGTGCAATGCTTAAATTCTTTTAATGTTGTAAAGTTTTGATTAAATTGGGCTTAAATAAGTGGTGGCATGCTTCAATTGGGCATAAACTGAGAATCAAGAGTTTGGTTGGTCCTGTTGAAATATAAAGAGAGAGTATAGAATTTTGATATGTATGAAATGTATACAATAGGAGTTTATATAGGAAGGGTTATGTATGATAAATAAGTAAATCTTATATGTATATCGTAACTACGTATATAGTAATCCTATACAAGGTTAGAATCTTATATATGGTAATTTTATATAAGATAAACTTATATATGGTTAGAATATATTTTAAAATATGTTAATAATATATTCTAAAATATTTGCAAACAGTCTCGGATTGAATAAAACCATCCTAAGTGAGATCTTGAAAGGGTGAAGATGGAGACATGATTAACAACTGGCATGGCACTACGGTGGACGCCGCTATTGATGTGGTAGTGATGATGTGGCAAAATGACGCGGCGGTGCTAACGTGGCCTGGCACGTGGCACGATGTGGATATGACAATGTAGCAATGCTGACGTGGCAGAATGTGGCGGCGCGTGGGCAACGCGGTGAAGGAGCTAATGACCACTGATGACGCGTGGTGGCACGGTGACAGAGCTGATCCGACACGTTGAGGTGTGGGATTACTGTTGGTGCGGGTGAAGGCTCATGGAAGAGTGGGATTACCAATTGAGGCGCATGGTGGCGTGGTGACGGAGTTGATCAGACACGTTAAGCATCTCTAAACGAGGCATCTATTTAAAGAATGAGGCTTCCCTATACGAGGCATCCCTAGGTGAGGCTTCTCTAAACGAGACATCTCGTTAAGTTTCCTTGAAGAAGACTTAGACAACGAGGCTTTCCTAAACTGGGCATATGTAGATCTTTATGAAGATCTTGGAGAGCGGAAGCGTGAATTTATTGGTTAACCATCGCCGCCAAGGATGGGGTTAATGGTGCCATCCCTGGTGGTGACTACGATAATGTTTACTAAAAATCAAAAGGTTCTGATACTATGTTAAATACAATAGAGAGTTCTCTCTTTTATATTTAACAGGTCCATTGGGCTGACCTTCACTTTTAAATTATCCGAAAAGTTTGGCATACTTTGTTCAGTTTTATGTTTCTAGAAAGTTGAAGGTCATCAAATTGGAAAAAAAACTATGTTTAGGGAATTATTGTTTGATTTTCGAGTTTGGATAGAGAGAGATTAAGGAAGGATTATGTATGGTAATATGAAAAGCAATTAAGGAGAGTTTAGGAAGGAAGGATTATGGTAATATGGAAAGCAATTAAGGAGAGTTCGGTAATGAAGCATTATGGTAATCTGAAAAGCAATTAAGGAGAGTTTAGGAAGGTGAAGAAGGATTATGGAAATTTGGAAAACAATCAGTGTAGAAAGTTAACACGTTTCCGATATTATTTATTTATTTGTGTTAGGTAAATACTTCCACGCAATACGTGCCAATTACTAAACAGGTAATTCAATTCAATCACTCAAGGAACACCTTTTAGAGATAAAATATTTATATTTTTCAAAAACAAGAAAAAAATAAAGAAACGGCGTCGTTTGACCGAATTACATTTCTTCCCACCTTTCCCGAAGATGGTATATTCTGTGTATTCACCTTTCACTCCGTTAACGTCACCGACGAACCCTAACTCTAAGGAGGCGATTCAAAGGTGGTTTGGGGATTGAATTTGAAGCAACTTCAAGCTCAAGCAACTTCCATGGAGTGAACTGAGTCTTCATTACAAGGTCGGTATCCAGATTTTTCCTTAATTTTTGGAATTTCTGCTTAAATATGAATGTAGTGCGAGAATTAAGAATTACTCTCTTTAGTTTATTTAATTAGTTGTTGGATTGAATTATATATGCGCTAAATTGAACGAATTTTTTTTTTTTTTTTTTTTTTTCTTGATTGTGTTTCTTTCCTCTTCTCTTTTTGCATCTTCTTTGAATGATTGTATATGATTATCCATTCAATATAAATTAAATGAGAAAATATATATATACATTGACCAGTGTGTATGTAAAAATAGGTAACATTTGAATTAACACATTTACGTGGGACTAATAGCAAACCTTCTAATTCTCACTCCCTGAAAACTAGCTGTTCAACTGGCCAAAGTTAGGAATAATTAAGCACTTTTGGGCAGAACTCAACTCTGGCATGACCGCATTGAATTGAAACCTTTCGGCATGTCTACCGACATAACCAAAATTGTGCTAGCACATACCCACTTTTGGCCCTATGGAAAGTGAACTCTTCGACATTCTACTTTGGAAGGTGAAAGAATACCACTAAGTTACAGCCTTCTGTTATTTCAATTCTTTGTTGTGTCATTAGAATCTTGCAGGTGAAAGAAGCTACAAAAAAATTCCAAAAATAAACATCTTACCCGAGCCTACCATCCTATCACACTAAACTATATTTATATGTGAGCCTACTTAACTACCATATCATATTAAAGACAAAGATAATGCTTTACAAAAAGGTGGTGGAAGAAATAATTTGTATAACTTTGGATTCCTCCTAACAAACACATACATAAGGTTACTTCTACTGACCCTCTGGTATAGAAATGTTCAACTTATTTTTGGTACTAGTTCTTTCCTCTTGCTGAGAGACTCTGTCGTTCTTTCCTCTTGCTAAGACTCTGTCTCACACAGGCTTCTATCCGGGTAGAAACCAGGTTGCTTAGGCTGGGGCAACACTGTGCCCTCACTATTAAACATTAAGAGCACAGAGCACATCATTGGCCTGTCTTCGGGGCATTGCTGCACACACAAGAGGCCAATCTGTATGCACCTTAATACTTCAGACATTGGAAATGAATCCTCCATCTGTGGATATATTAGCTCAAAGGCCTTCCCTTCAATCAGTAATTTCCATGCCTGACACGTCATATATCAAATAAAAATTAACCTTACAGAAAAAGTGCAAATTGGAAGAAAACCAATTTTAACAATTAACTTACATGTCCAAGAAGGTTGTGGTCATGGTCTGGATGTTAGAACTGTCCGTTCCTTTTGCCACTCACTATTTCCAAAACTAGCACTCCGAAGCTAAAGACATCTGATTTCATGGAAAAGAGGCCATCGATGACATACTCTAGGGACATGTAACTACTGTGCCATAATAAGAAAAATAAAGATATTAATGAATCTTATCTTATGCTGGTACCTTAAACAAATCGTTAGGCACTTACTAAGTTCCAATCACCCTTTTTGTTTTTGCTAGTAATTGATCTCCTCCAAAAGCTCTAGCAATCCCAAAATCTGAGATTTTTGGATTCATGTTATTGTCTAGTAGCACATTACTGGCTTTTAGATCCCTATGAATAATCCTCAATCTGGAATCCTGATGAAGATAAAGAAGCCCTCGAGCAATCCCCACTATAATATCAAAAGTAACTTGGTAAAATTGGCGCACTCAATTTGAGAGCTTGACTATCATTATATACAAGAGGAAAATTACAAATATGGAAAGAGAATATAATCAAATCAGAATAAAGATAATAAAATCAAATCAGAATAAAAATAAAATCCCTAAATATTAGCCTATATTGAAGACCCAATAAATCTACCACAATCATTGAGTCAACTTATGGATATTATTTCCAGCACTCCCCCTCAAGCTGGAGCAAATATGTTGAGCAAGCCCAGCTTGACTATAGAAGACTGGAGAAGAGAAGGCCCAACAGACTTTGTGAACACATCTGCAGTCTGTTCTGAAGAGGGAACAAAAATAGGATTAATGATACCTGATCGAACCTTCTCTTGAATAAAGTGAATGTCTACCTCAATATGTTTCGACCTTTTATGTAAAACAGAATCGGAAGCAAGCATAATGGCTGATTTATTGTCACAAAACAGCCTTGAAGAACCTTTCTCTACAAGACCCAACTCTCCCAAAATTGATTGAAGCCAAAAGAGCTCATAAGTACCTTGAGCCATAGCTCGGTATTCAGCTTCAGCAGAGGATCTAGAGACAACAGCTTGCTTCTTACTCTTCCATGATATGAGATGATTACCATAGAAAGTACAGAAGTCAGAGGTAGAACGTCTATCTGTTTTACATCCAGCATAGTCTGCATCAGTAAAGCATGAGAGTCCAGATTGATTTCCTGAGGCATAGAATAGACCAAGACCAGGGCATGACTTACCTCAAAATATGGTAGACTGCATCCATATGAGTTGAGCGAGGGGCATGCATGAATTGACTAACCACACTAACAGCAAATGTCAAATCGGGCCTTGTGTTAGTCAAGTAGATAAGACGACCTACTAAACGTTGATACACGGATGGATCTGAAAGTAATTCCCCTGACTCAACAAAGAGTTTGAGATTGGGGTCTATAGGAATGGAAGCGGGTCGACACCCAAGCATGCCAATATCTTGAAGAAGATCCAAAACATATTTCCTTTAAGATAAAGAAATTCCACGACGGGATCTAGCAACCTCAATTCCAAGAAAATATCGAAGAGGACCTAAGTCCTTCACATCAAAGGACTTTTGAAGATGAAGTTTTGCCTGAGCAATCCCTGAAGCATCATCACCTGTGATAATGATATCATCCACATATACCAATAACATAATGCAACGACCATCAGAGCGATGTCGAATAAAGCAAGTATGGTCTGAGTGGCAGCGCACAAAGCCCATGGATAGAACAACATCGCTGAAACGACTAAACCAAGCTCTAGGAGATTGCTTCAAACCATAAAGAGACTTCCGCAGCCTACAAACTTTCCCAGCATACTCCCCCTTAGCCCGAAATCCAGCGGGTGGATCCATATATATAGTCTCAAGTAAGTCTCCATTAAGAAATGCATTCTTGACATTTAACTGATGCAGAGGCCAAGAATGGGCAGCAGACAAGGAGATAAGCAGTCGCATAGACATCAACTTTGCCACAGGAGCAAAGGTAGCACTAAAGTCTTTGCTTGGAATCTGAGTAAAGCCTTTCGCCACCAACCGAGCCTTATACCAATCAATAGAACCATCGGCTAAGTACTTCACATTAAAGACCCATTTGCTGCTAACCATTTTCTCCCCAGCAGGTAAAGTAACAAGTTCCTATGTATTATTATGTTGTAAAGCATCAATTTCTGTTGTCATGGCAGACACCCAATTGGGATCCCGGAGGGCCTTTGACACGGATCGAGGAATAGAAACGGTCCCAATCTTGCCCAGGAAGGATTTATATGCACCTGAAAGACCATCATAGGAGACATACTGGGAAATAGGGTAGTTAGTGCTACTAGAAAAACCATACCAATTAGGAGGGTGAAGATCACGGGTAGGATAACGGGAGGTATGCTCATGAATGGTAGGAGCCATAGGAGAAGGAGAGTTACCTGGACCTGGTTCTGAAGATGATTCTGGCAGGGGAAGTTGAGTGCGATGGCGACGAGAGTAGACCTGCAAAGGTGGAGGGGAACCCTGCATGGATGGAGAAGGAGATTCTAGGATAGTGTGATTTTCAAAGAGAGGAACAGGACAGGCAATAGGAGAAATCTCCTTCTCCAAATCAAAAGAGAGAGAATCCTGTACCACAGAATTGGTACTATAAAAAGAAACAGTTTCATGAAATGTCACATCAAGAGAATGATACATATGTTTGGTCACAGGATCATAACAACGATCGCCCTTTGACATAGCAGAATACCCCAAGAAAATACACTTAATAGATTTATCATCAAGTTTATGACGAGAAGGACTGCGGTTATGAACAAAACAAGTACAGCCAAAAACACGAGGCAGAAGGTGAAACAATGTATAATCAGGCTGGAGAATCTAAAGTGGGGCCTTACCACCCAAAACTCGACTGGGAGTATGATTAATCAGAAAAGCAGCTGTAAGAACAGCCATGTGCCAATAGAATTTAGGCACATGCATACCACTCAGAAGACATCGGACCATAGACATAAGATGACGGTTTTTGCGTTCAGCCACGCCATTTTGCTCAGGAGTGTAGGGGCAAGTGAGTTGATGTAAAATCCCCTTTTTATTAAGTTCAGTCCGGAACTCATTCGAAACATATTCTCGTCCATTATCAGAACGAATATTACGAACAACAGTGTTATACTGGGTTTTGATCATTTGAAGAAACTGGGTAAATAAAAAAAACACATTAGATTTCTTTTTCAATAAATAAACCCAAGTACAACGAGAATAATCATCAATAAATGTCACATAATATCAATGTCTAGAGAAAGCAGTAACTGGGGAAGGGCCCCAGACATCAGAATGAATAAGATCAAACATACTAGGAGCACGACTTATATGAGAAATATAGCTAGTTCTAGTATGTTTAGAAAGCTCACAAGCTTTACATTGAAACTTATGGTCCTTACATGCTTTATTTAACGAAGGAAACAATAGACATAGATACTGAAAGTTTACATGCCCCAAACGTGCATGCCACAGACTAAAGGTGCGAAAAGAAATATCATAAACACTAGAAGTAGGTAGGACAGAAGCTTGAAGACTCGTTCCTGGTGGTTCCCCAAAGTAGTAAAGCCCATTACGCTCATAACCCCTGCCAAAAATCCTCTTCGAACAAAGGTCCTGTAACAAACAGTGATCTGGTAAGAATATAACTACACATAGGAGATTTTTTGCAAGCCGGCTAACAGATAAAAGGTTAAAGGCAAGTTTAGGTACATGAAGGACATATGAAAGAGTAATATCAGGAGATAAACAAACATCACCCTTACTGTGAATGTAAGATGTAGAGCCATCCGCAAGATACACAGATTGGGTAACAGGTATGATATTAGAAAAAAAAACTGATAACTCACCAGTCATGTGATCATTGGCCCTAGAATCCAGAACCCAAGTGGGCTGCTTGGCCTTAACATGAAATGCAATTGGAGTACCTGTAGCAATAGTGGTAGTGGGAGCAGCTGAAGGAGCTCCAACTCTAGAAGCAAGGGAGCCAAGTTGGTCCTGTATCTGCCCAATCTGAGACTAAAGCTGGCTCAGTCCAGGAAATACAGTAGATCTACCAGTAGTAACAGGAGTTTCTGCAACAGCCGCAGTACGAGAAGAACCAGTTCCAGATAAACGGTTCCTAGAAAATTTTTGCTTCAGTTCAGGATAAAGTTTGAAGCAACGAGCCTTAACATGTCCAACCCCTCCATAATGGTGACAAATAATCTGACCTCCAGAAGCTCGTGATCCAAAGTTGGCTGCAAAAGCTATACTATCCCCAACAGGCTCAGACACTGGTGGAGGAACAAGTGAGGGCTGAATTAAACGGTGCCTGCGTGCTTCACCATCAACAGTAGCAAAGGCTTCCAACAGGGATGGCATTGGTGATGCATTCAAGATCTGAGACTTTAGTGGTTCAAATTCTGGACGTAATCCCATAAAAAACTGATAGGTATGCTGACGATCAAGACGTTTGACAAGAAGAGAGGCTGCCTCAGAAGGAAATTCACTAAGAGGCTCATATTGAGCTAGTTCCTCCCAGCGAGATCTCAAATACCCAAAATAATCAGCTACAGACAAATTCAGGCCTTCCTGCGAGGCCTTAGCAATATCTTGGTATAATTTAAAAATACGAGCATCATTCCTAGAATGAGCATACATTTTATTCAAAGCAGTCCACATGTCATTAACAGAGTCATAAAACATGAATATATTATAAATGCGTTCCTCCACAGAATTAAACATCCATCCTAAAATGGTGCAATTGTCCATATCCCATTGAGCATATTTAGGATCTTTAATATTTGGCATCTTTTCAGTACCCAAAATCCACCCTGATTTGCCTTTTCCACCAACATAGAGGCGGAGGGAACCAACCCAAGTTGCAAAATTACGGCCATTCAACAGCACACTAGTAACTTGTTGAGCCGGTGCGTGTTGCACCGAAAAGAGAGTTTCTTTATTATTACTTGATTCAGCCATAATATTAAATAGAATAATTCAACAGATTACCAATAATTTCAAATAAAGGAGGAATAAACCTGATTTTGATCAAACCAAAAAGCCGGAGATACGGCGGTCTGATCCGAAAATGCTGCCGAATATCCCGGCAGCCCCAAAAAATTACAAACACGTCTTCTGACCCTTAATGTATGAAAAAGACTAAGGGAATACCCCTACAGGGGTCGAACCTAGAGGAGATTGGCTCTCCCTAGGACTGTCGCAACAGCGGCCTGAAAAAGAGAGAGGGTTTGTGAAGAAAAGGAAAAAAAGAAATAAGGAAGGGGCTGTGAGAGAGAGAGAGAGAAGGAGGGGGGGGGGGGGGGGGGGGTTGGGCGTAGTTGAGGCTCTGATACCAA